TCCTACACTGTTGGTGGGAATGTAAACTGGTGCAGGCCCTCTGGAAAACATTATGGAGGTTCCTCAAAAGATTAACAGTAGAACTCCCCTATGACCCAGCAATAGCACTGCTATGAATTTACCCGAGGTATACAGGAGTGCTCAGGCATAGTGGCACATGTACCCCAGTGTTGAAAGCAGCACTCTCAACAATAACCAAAACATGAAAGAGCCTAAGTGTCCATCAGCTGACGAATGGATCAAGAAGATGTGGTTTATCTATACAATGGAATACTACATGGCAATGAGAAACAGTGAAATCTGGCCATGTGTAGCAACATGGATGGGACTTGAGGGTGTTATGCTGAGCGAAATAAGCCAGGCAGAGAAGGACAGATACTATATGTTTGCAGGTATAGGTGGATTAGGAGCAACTTAATGGAGGATCATGGGGGAGGAGAAGGGGAAAAATAGATGGGGAGAGGGAGGGAGGCAAAACATGAGAGACTCTTGAATGCTGAGAGCAAACTGAGGGCTTGTGGGGGGTGGGGAGGAAGAGAAGGGAGGTGATGGGCATGGAAGAGGGCACTTGTTGGAATGAGCACTGGGTATAATACGGAAACCAAATTGACAATAAACTATTTTTAAAAAGAAGGAATACACCAAAAAAAGATGAGAGGTATAGATAGCAGAATGACTGATATAAATGCAACCATATCAAAACTTATATTAAATATACAGAAATCCAAAAGTAGAAATTGGGAAAACTATGGACTGGGTGTGAAAAGATACTAAGGAGTTACTGTTTAGTTTTGTTGGAGATGGCAAGTTTTATTATTCATCTGTTAAAAATATACATTGAAATATTTATGGGTGAAGTGAAATGATATACCAAGAATTTGCCTTAAAATGCTACAGGAAATAAAAAACTTTAGGGAATTACTGAAGTAAGAGAATGAGTATTTCAGTTATTTATTTATTTATATTTTATCTATAGAATAAGTATTTAAAAATTTTTTCCAATATAAAAGTTTTAAAAACTTCATATGTTGCTCCAACTTTGAGCCCTTTTGGGCTAAACATTTCTTACCCTTTTGACTTAACTTAATCATTTTTGAGCACCTTCTTGCTTGCTCTCTCAGCCAGTTCACTTTCTACCTTTATTAGTTTTCTATTGCTATGTAAAAGTTACTTTAAAACTTAGAGACTTAAAACAGTAAGTCTTCATTATCTCACACAGTTTCTGTGGATCAGAAACTTGGGGATGCCTTAGCTGTTCTTTTGGCTTAAGGTTTCTCATAGGTTTGCATTTAAGATGTTAGCCAGGGCTTTAGCCTCTGAAGATTTGTTATTTTACTACTTCTCTAATGGCTTAATGTACATGACTGGAAAGTTAGTGTTGATTGTTAGTGGGAGGCTTTAGATCTTCACCATGTGGATGTCTCAATAGGACTGTCTGAGTACTTTCATGACTTGATTGCTGCCCCCTCCCCCTGCTCCCAGAGTGAATGATAAAAGAGAGAATAAAGCAGAATGAATGATCCAGAGTAAGGTAGACTTCTGTGTCTTTTATGATCTAGTTCTCAAAAGTCATACAACATCATTTCCACAATCTGCTATTGATTACATGTGTCAGCCTTAGTCATTGTGGGAAGAGAGTGCAAGGGCATGAATACCAGGAAGCAGGAGTTACTGGGTGTTACTTTGAAGGCTGATTCTTACATTACCCTAGCATGAGAATCTCCAAGAAGCCCTGGTTCCTTTTAAGAGAATAGTATTTAAGTTAAAATCTTGTCACTAAGAGTACTCATTGTCAGTTGCTTATTATTTCTGATAGGCTTTTGAGTATATAGAGCTAAAATATATATATATATATTTCTCTCTCTATATATATCCGTATATACTTAAATTACACATTTATACTGATATATATGACTTAAATTTAACATAACAAGGTTTTTCCCTCTTTGATTTTGTATGTTTATTTTCTCATTTTTGTTTTTTGGAAATAAAAAAATAAATAAAACCATGTAAAAGTATACATTCAGAGGAGTATTGCTAAGCAATCAGAAAGAATGAAATCTTGCTATTTGCAACAACATGGATGGAACTAGAGGGTGCTATTCTAAGCAAAATTAGTCAGAGAAAGACAAATATCATATGACTTCACTCATGTGTGGAATTTAAGATACAAAACATATGAACATAAGGAAAGAGAAGCAAAAATAATATAAAAACAGGGAGGGAAACAAAACATAAGAGACTCTTAAATATAGAGAACAAACTGAGGGTTGCTGGTGGGGTTGTGGTGGGAGGGAATAGGCTAAATGGGTAAGGGGCATTAAGGAAGACACTTGTTGGAATGAACACTGGGTTTTATACATAGGGAATGAATCACTGGAATCTACTCCTGAAATCACTGTACTCTATGCTAACTAACTTGGATGTAAATTTTAAAATTAAAAAAAAATTAAGAACATAAACATTCAGAGAAGTTTTTCATATACGTTTCTCCCTTCCTCTACAACCCTATTCCTACCAGTAACCATTTTTATTTATTTTCAGATTATACTTCCAATGTTTCATTTTACAAGTATATGTAAATATATGTACTTCATCCTCCTCCCTTTCACTTTCCCTCAAAAGATAGTATATTTTGTACAGTGCTCTGTACCTTACATTTTTATTTAACAGTATATCCTAGATATCACTCCATAACTATTTGGAGATCTTTATTTTCTTATGGCTGCATAGTGTCCATTATGTGGATACATTCCTGAGAGTCTTTCGGGTTGTTGCCAGTCTATTACTATTAGAAATAATGTGTAGTGAATATTCTTGTGTAATTTCATCCTTGTACTGTGTGTGTTGGTGGGGTAGATTGCCTAAAAGTAAGATCACTAGGTCTGAGGCAAAAATATGTATATAGTTTTGTTAGATACTGGCAAATTTCCCCTTCATAGGTAGTGGTCCATTTTCACCATCCCATCAGAGATACTGTGAGGGTTAACAGAGTTCATGCATGTAGACTGCCTAACATAATGATCACTTAATCAAAGACGGCTTTTTCCCTAAAATCAATGTTCTTAGCTCTTTCATATATTGTCAAATGAATTTCAAGATTTCTCAATACCCTGAATACTTTCCTAGATGTGTATTCTACTTTATATGTAGTCCTTTTTATTAGTTTGTGCAGAACTAAACACAATACTTAGTAAATCACTCCAAAGTGGTCATTTTGTATTTTAAGAGTTAGAAAAAATAATATTAAGTTCCTGGAAGAAGAATCAGATAGGAGGCCCTATTCTTTCATATACTCAAACATCTGTGAAAATGAAGACCATTCTCAGCTATCAGACTATCAGCATTCCAAAAAATGTTGACATCACTCTGAAGGGATGCACTGTTATTGTGAAGAGTCCCAGACGAACCCTGCAAAGAGATTTCAGTCACATCGATGTAAAACTCAGTCTCCTTGGAAATAAAATGAAGAGGCTCCAAGTTGACAAATGGTGGGCAAATAGAAAAGAAATAACTATCTCTAGGCATATATAGAACACGATCAAAGGCATTACACTGGTCTTCCATCACAAGGTGAGGTCTACGTACGCTCACTTCCCCAACAACATTGTTTTTCAGGACAGAGTTCTCTTGTTGAAGTCCAAAAAATACATCTTCAAAGTTTAGATGAGGCCAGGATGTTGCTTGTTCAGTATCTCAAGCCCAAAAAGATGAGTTAATTCTTTAAGGAAATGACAGTGAACTTGTATCAAACTCAACTGCTTTGATTCAGAAAGCCACAATAGTTAAAAATAATATCAGAAAATGTTGGAATGATACCTTTTTCTGAAAGGAAACAGTTCATCAGCCTGATGAATGAGATCTAAGTTGTCTAGGGATGTCTGGGTGGTTCAGTCAGTCAAGAGTCAACTCTTTTTTTTTTTCCTAGTTTGTTTATTTATTTTGTCAGTGTAGAGCCTGGTGCGGGGCTTGATCTCAAGAACCATGAGATCATGACCTGATGGTTAACCTACTGACCCACCTAGGCATCCCAGACATCCAGCTTAATGCTTAAGATTCTCTCTCTCCTTTCACTCTGCACCTCCCCCAGCTCTCTCACTCTCAAACAAACAAATAAAAAAAGATGTCCCAGCTACAGAAACAGCAAGATGTTAAAATTTCTCAGACTTACTTGTGGCATTTTAAAGATACAATAAAGGCTGTATTAATTTTTTAAAAATTAGGGTTTACATTTATAAAGTGGTAATTTATATTGAAATGTTTCTGTTCTGTAATACCATTCAACATTATGATAAGGTCCTTCAAGATAAATAGAAAATGCAGAATATCTTGGGAAAATGATTATTTTACCTGAGCTTGCATTTTTAATATTTTTGGAACCTCTTATGGTTTAACTACTTGGATACAGAATAAGGTGATGGGCATTATCAGCTTGAATTTGGTCAGTGACCACAAGTTATACCCTTATGTCTTGATTATTGTCTAACAGTTTTATCAATTTAGAAGGACAACTAAAATGAGTCCAGAGACATTGTTAGTATATGTGTTAAAAATAAGTAAGATTTATTAGCTGCTGCTAGTATAAAAGCATTACTTTCTGAAGTATTTTCAAAAAAGTGTATTTAACATAGGGGAGATTACTGTTAACATATTAAGGTTAAAACTCTGGAAAAAATTCTTTCACCATTAGTTCCAATATTTTTATATTGATAATTGGTTTTATAGAAGTGTTTATTTTTGTTTTTATTTAACCTAAACAAGTAGTAATTTACCTAAACCTGAGTGATTCTTAAATAAGTAGTTATTTTATAAAGTAAAACTATATGTTAATTAGAAATAAGCGTAAAACTAGAGATATTTGTTTTAGTAATTAGTTTGTTAAGCTCCTCTGAAAATTCTTGGGTACATTATCTGCCAGTGCTTCCTTGTTCTATGTAACATTCTAGATTTATAAATTAGTATGTGACATTCTGTTCTTTGCCCATTTAAATTTATTCTAGGTGCTAACTGCCAAAGAAAGAAAAACTCAAATTGATGATAGAAACAAATTGACTGAGCATTTTATTATCACACTTCCTATGTTGCTATCAAAGGTATAGTTTCATTTACATTTCTGTGATAATATTCCACTGAGTTTGCTTATTACACTGAACTATTAAAGTAGTCACTTCTTTTTTCTTTGCTTCTCCTCCTTCTAGTATTCTGCAGATGCAGAGAAGGTAGCAAACTTGCTACAAATCCCACAGTATTTTGATCTAGAAATTTATAGCACAGGTAGAATGGAAAAGGTAAGACACTATGAAATTGAAATTCTATTATAGTCAGTTTAATTAACTGCATTATTTCATATTCATGTAATCTATAGGTTTATAATTTGACAGATGGTTATTTTTATTAATCTAAATATCATGGTTTTTCTTTTTTTCCTTCTCAGCATCTGGATGCTTTATTAAAACAGATTAAGTTTGTGGTAGAGAAACATGTAGAATCAGATGTTCTAGAAGCCTGCAGTAAAACCTATAGCATCTTATGCAGTGAAGAGTATACCATCCAGAACAGAGTTGACATAGCTCGAAGTCAGCTAATTGACGAGTTTGTAGATCGATTCAATCATTCCGTGGAAGATCTACTGCAAGAGGTCTGTTTTAAAGTTAATGTGATAATTTTGGCTAATAATTATTCAGAGTTTTTGAATGTGTAAATTGTTCCCATTTTAAAATAAAATCTAGTAGAATTCTCTGCCTCTTTCACATCTTAGCATTATTGCAGCTGTTCATCTTGTAAAGATTAACCTTTGTTATACTTTATTTTAAACACGTATTTCATAAAAGCTAAATTTTTTTCTCTTTTAAGAAAAACCTTTTTAAAGTCTGGCTTTTCTTAATTCATTTTTTCATTTTTACATTTTACTATTACTGGGACCTAAATTACATTTTATTACTATCACTCAACTCATAATGTGCTAATGAATAGAACATAAAAATTAAGAGTACTTGTAAGGAACAGCCACTCACCAGTGGTTTGCCCAGTATAGCAACAAACCTCTCCCACTGTTTTTTGTTTTTTTTTTTTTTTTAATGTTTATTTTCTTTTTGAAAGAGGAGTGAGCATGAGCAGAGGAAGGACAGAGAGACAGACAGAGGATCTGAAGCCCCAACATGGGGCTCAAACCCACATACTGTGAGATCATGACCTGAGCTAAAATCAAGAGTCACACACTTAACCAACTGAGCCACCCAGGTGTCTCTCCAGCTGGTTATTTTTGTAATTATTTTTGTGATTTCCATTTCTTGCCCTCTCCCTCTAATCAGTGTAAGGCAATTTTGAACCCCCATAGATTTCTATGCCATGATGGCCAGACTGATAAGATTTTATTTTTAATCCATGTAACCAATTTTTCCAACTTCTAATTTTTAATTTTAACTTTTAAATTTCTTCAACCATTTTTGATTTTTCATTGTAGTTTTGAGCTACAAAAGTAACAGACAGGTAAAATCTTTGAAATAACCATTAAAGTCTTTAAAGCACATACCTTTTCACTCAGCAGTTTTAGTGAATTTATCCTAAAGTATTAATCAGAAAAATGTACAAAGTTAACATTTATGACACTGTTTAAAATGCAAAAATGGTTATCTCTGGGTGTTAGAATTATGGGTGTTTTTATTTTTTGGTTTTTTGCTTATTTGTATTTTGTTATTTTACCAACAGTGAATATGTACTGTTTACATAATAAAAAAGAATTCTTTTTTATACCTAAAAGGCAGTAGGTATTAATAGACTTTCATGTGAATTTGAGGGTAAGTAAAGTTATGGTAACCAAATGATGTCTTTTTTTTAATTTATAGGGAGAAGAAGCTGATGATGATGATATTTACAATGTTCTCTCTACATTAAAGCGGTTGACCTCTTTTCATAAGTATGTAATTTTATTTAGATTTGGTTGATAACATATATTAGCCAATATAAAATAGACTTTTTTTTAATAGTATTTAACTTCTGTATGACAATGGAAAAGTTTAGACAAATACCAAGATGTTAGGATTTTTTTCTTTATTATTCAGATTTTCTCCCTATATATGATTGGTTTTTATTAGTAAGATTTATCATTCAGGTGTAACAAATGTACACTGTACACTGTAAAAGTTTGTTAATCAATATTATTAACAAATTAGATGGGTTTACTCTATAAGTTAGAGGGTTTTTATAAATTTTTTAATGTTCATTTTTGAGAGACAGCGTGAGTAGGGGAGGGGCAGAGAGAGAGATGGAGACACAGAATCTGAAGCAGGCTCCAGGCTCTGAGCTGTCAGCCCAGAGCCTGACACAGGTCTCACACTCATAAACTGTGAGATCATTACCTGAGCCTAAGATGGACACTTAACTGACTGAGCCACCCGAGTACCCCATAAGCTAGAGTTTTATAGGTATAATTTTCAACTGATAGCTTTTAGAAATCTTACTAAATAAGAAAAAAATTGGGGGGGGAAGCCATGAAAATTATTTCCATGAGCTTTTTTTCCTAAATAATTCTTGTTTGTCTACTTATTATTGTGTTCTTACTATGTAAACAGAATAGCTAGACTTGAATAAGGAAAAAAGTCTCAGATTAATGATCTCAGTGATTTTCAAATTGTAATTTACATGCCCCTTCTTAATGAGGTATGTTTGCTCCATAAGGAAAGGAAAATAGAGATCTTTGTTGCCTAAGGAATGTTTAAGTGTAGCCCTTACATTAATGAACACTTGAGAGTTCAAAAGCAATGTCTAAAATCTAAGACTTGAAGATTTTTTTACACAAGTACATTTTTTAGATTTCTGTGGAGAAATAAACTCTTAGTTTTAAAAGTATTTTGACATTTCAAAATCAAAGTTAACATCCATTGATCTCCTATTTTTAGTAGTAGAACTCATGAGAAAATAAAATGTATTATTTCAATTAAGAAACCTGTAGCTACACTAAAGTTTTTGAGCTTTGCCATATTTCCTTTCCCCTAGTTTTGTCTTCCCTTGTCTCCATCTTATGAATACAAATCTCTTTTAAAAATACACATGTATTTTTATATTTTGGAATTATGAATGGATTTGTTAAAATATGTTTTAAAATATACTAAGAAGAATGAAATGGAATACAAGCTTAGGTTGACCATGTAGTAGTAATCTTCATTGAAATGTGCAGATTTTTATTATTTGGTTTCTTTTAACTAATTCCTAATATCCACTTATATATTCTGTCTCCTTTCTCCCCCATTGTCCTTTTCTCTTTCTTCCTTTTTCTTACCTTCCTTTCTTTCCTACTTCCACTCTCTTTACTTCTTACTTCTTTTCTTTCTAAGTTTGAGTACCAGAACATTTCTTTATCTGTCTTTTTTGATTCTATAAGAAAATGAAGTTAATTTATACTTCTGCCAACTCAAACTAAGCTCAAATTTCAACTTTCATCTACTCTTAGAATAAAGTTAATGCGTTTTTGTTTATTTTAGTGCTCATGATCTCACAAAGTGGGATCTATTTGGTAATTGCTACAGATTATTGAAGACTGGAATTGAACATGGAGCTATGCCAGAACAGGTAGGAGTTTATTGATATTCCTCCTTTTTCCATTTTAGAAGACTAAGCTTCTCTGAGATCACACAGGATTATCAAAAGCCTTACATAGAAACTAATTGATAATTCCTTTTTTTTTTTTTTTTTAGAAACTAATTAATAATTCTTAAATGCAGATGCCTCTTTTGAGAATTATTGCCATAGTAATTGTATATTACTGGTAGGTGTTCATGATTGAGTGTTACTGGTAGGTGTAATATATCTTCAGGTTTGAGCAGAAAAAAGTAGAAAATCTTTGCTATAATTGTATTTCAAAAATGTAATACTAAAGTAAACATTATTGCTTTTTTAGGAAAAATACAGTAATTACCATAGGAGCAATTTCCAAACTTGATTCAGTTTGATGAAAATTCCTAATAATGGTTATATTCTACATACTGTTCTAGACATTGATAATGGTAAGCCTTAGGTATAGCGTACTTTTTGTAGTAGAACCATAGTTGAGTAAACTTGGAGCCTTTAGCAGATTTTAGACCTTGTTGCCTTCATGTGTAATTTGAAATGGAAAGGGCAAGAATTCATCACATTTCTGTAGTCTGGAAGATACTTAAAATAGTCAATTCTATATGAGAATTAAGTAATTAATTTTTAATTACAATTATTATACTTGTTAATGGTTACACGTAATACAGTTAATTTTAGTTGGCAATTATGTAGTTATTGTTACTTAGCAGTAACAGTCTGTTGTAAGAATTAAGAGTTATTTTGTATACCATATATACTCATTCATTAGACCAAGATATCAGCCAGTAGTTAAGTGTAGGTGGTATTTAAGGGTGATCTTATGTATTCCCATTTGGTAATGTGGAATGCTTAAATGATACTTTATTACACTAAAGCAGTAGGAATTTCAACAGGTATAACAATAATGATTTCATATTACAAATGAATCACAGAAACATGCTTCATCATTGCTATGCTTATATTCTCAAGCTGTTCTTCAAAGTTGAAAGGGATAGACTTGAGATATTCCTTGTTTTGGTTTCCTCATTTTCCTTAAGAAGATAATGAGAATAGCACATCTCTGTTTCACCTGGGGATTATAATTATGTCACAATTTATTTATAATTCACTACACCATCATTTATTGTCATAGAACTGACTTTTGACAGTCTCGCATTGTTGTCTTCTTTGGTTATCTTAGTTTTCTGTTACTTATGTTCTCATTTCCCCCATTTTTAGTTTCTTTGAGTAAGAGAACACATACATGTGACATTTGCTTAAACTTTTTAAATCTTACACATATTTTCTTTTTTTTTTTTTAACTCAAATATAGCTAACATAGTGTTATATTAATTTCAGGTGTACAAGATAGTGATTCAGCAGTTTTCTATATTCACTGCTCATCATAAGTATACTTTTAATCCCCTTCACCTATTTCACCCATCTCCCCACTCTCCTCCCCTCTAGTAACCATCAGTTCTTTATAGTTAAGAGTCTGTTTTTGGTTTGTCTCTTTTTTTGTTTTTTGTTTCTGTGTTTTGTTTCTTAAAGTCCGCATATGAGTGAAATCATACAGTATCTGTCTTTTTCTTACTGAATTACTTCTCTCAGTATTATATTCTCTAGCTCCATCCATGCTGTGGCAAATGCCAAGATTTCATTCTTTTTTATGATTCAGTAATATTCCACTGGTGTGTGTGTGTGTGTGTGTGTGTGTGTGTATGTGTATGTGTGTGTACGTACGTGCGTGCATGCCGCACACATGCACACACACACGCATACATACATACCACCTCTTCTTCATCATTCATTAGTTGTTGGATGCTTGGGTTGCTTGCATAATTTGACTATTGTAAATAATGCTGGAGGAAAGATAGCAGTGCAAATATCCTTTCAAATTACTATTTTTGCATTCTTTGGGTAAATACCCAGTAGGAGAATTAGTGGATCATTTTTAATTTTTTGAGGAACATCCATACTGTCTTCCACAGTGGCTGCACCAGTTTGCATTCCCACCAGCAGTGCACATGTATTTCTTTTTCTCTACATCCATGTTAGCACTTGTTGTTTCTTGTGTTTTTGGTTTTACCATTTTAACAAGTATGAGGTGGTATTTCATTGTAGTTTTGATTTGCATTTCCCTGGTGATAAGTGATGATGAACATCTTTTCATGTGCCTGTTGGTCATCTGTATGTTTCCTGTGGAGAAATGTCTGTTTCTTTCTTCTTCCCATTTTTTAATTATATCATTTGTTTTTAGGGTGTTGAATTCTGTAAGTTCTTTGTACATTTTGGATAGTAATTCTTTATCAGATATGTCATTTGCAATATTTTATCCCATTCCATAGGTTGGCTTTAGTTTTCTTGATTGTTTCCTACACTGTGCAGAAGCTTTTTATTTTGATGTAGTCTCAATAGTTTATTTTTGCTTTTCTTTCCCTTGCCTCAGGAGACCTATCTAAAAAAATGTTTCTGTGGCTGACATCAGCAAAATTAGTGCCTGTGCTCTCTTCTAAGATTTTTGTAGTTTCAGGTCTCACATTGGGATCTTTAATCCATTAGAGTTTATTTTGGCATATGGTGCGAAACACTGGTCCCAGCTTCTTTCTTTTGTGTGTTGTCCAGTTTTCCCAAGCACCATTTGTTGAAGAGACTGTCTTTATCTCATACTCTTGCCTCATTTGTTAAAAGATCAATTGACCATATAATCATGGGTTTATTTTCGGGCTCTCCCTCTGTTCCACTGGCCTATATGTCCATTTTTGTGCCAGGGCCCTACTGCTTTGATTACTACAACTTTGTGGTTTATCTCAAAATCTGGGATTGTGATCCCTTCAATTTTGTTCTTTTTTTTTCAAGATTGCTTTCGCTATTCAGGATCTTGTTTCATAATTTTAGGGCTGTTTTTTCTAGTTCTGTGAAAAATGCATTTGGTATTTTGATAGGGTTGCATTGAATCTGTAGTTAGCTTTGGGTAGTGTGGACATTTTAACAATATTGGTTCTTCCAATCCACAGTCTATTTGTGTTGTTAGGCACATCCTTAAAACCTAATCATGTATATGAAGTTTTGGTGCATCACTACTAGATTGTACTCTTGTTTGTTACAGCAGTAGAAACTATTTAACAATCAGCAGCTCTTAGAAACATGTCTTTAGACACCCACTATTCAAATTCTGAAAAGTATACAGAATTCAACCAGTTTTTCATAGGACCATATAGGCTTGCTTTTTTAGATTGCCACTCTGTACTTTAAAATTCAGAAAATAACCTTTTTGAGTAAAGATACCAAATAACTACCAGAATGTTTGTGATTGCTTACCTTTAGTTTTGCTTAATGTTCTGAAGATAATTTAAAATTAATTGTCTAGTGGTTTTGGGTGACTGTATTGTCCTTACGCTTGATTATTTGTTTTCCATGGTAACCATTTTATGTAGAAGTTTCCTAGTCCTCAGAGTTCTTTTTTTTTTCTTTCCTCTTCCACTGATCTGTCTTTTCTCATGCCAATACTGCTTTAACTATTATAGCTTTAGAATATGTAAGACTGAAGTTTAAGAGCATTTACCTATTCTTATAGCAATTTTTTTCTTTCTTTTTTCTTTTTTTTTTTTTTTTTTACAAATAGCTTATTGTCAAGTTGGTTTCCATATAACACCCAGTGCTCATCCCACAAGTGCCCTCCTCCATGCCCATCTCCCCACTACCCCCCCACACCCATGAGTCCTCAGTTTGTTCTCAGCATTCAAGAGTCTCTTATGGTTTGCCTGCCTCACTCCCTCTCCCCAACTATTTTTCCCCTTCTTCTCCCTCATGGTCCTCTGTTAGCTTCCTCCTAATCCACCTATATGTGCAAACATATGGTATCTGTCCTTCTCTGCCTGACTTATTTCGCTCAGCATAACACCCTCAAGGTCCATCCAGGTTGCTACACATGGCAAGATTTCATTCTTTCTCATTGCCATGTAACATTCCATCATGTAGATAAACCACATCTTCTTGATCCATTCGTCCATTGATGGACACTTAGACTCTTTCCATGTTTTAGCTATTGTTGAGAGTGCTGCTGTGAACATTGGGGTACATGTGCTCCTATGCATCAGCATTTCTGTACCCCTTGGGTAAATTCCTAGCAGTGCTATTGCTGGCTTATAGGGGAGTTCTATTGTTAGTTTCCTGAGGAACCTCCACACTGTTTTCCAGAGGGATTGTACATTCCAGAGAGAATGTAGCTTACATTCCCACCAACAGTGTAGGAGGGTGCCCGTTTCTCCACATCCTCGCCAGCATCTAGAGTTCTCTGATTTGCTCATTTTAACTACTCTTATAATAATTTTTAAGTCAAATTATAGAAGAGCTATATAGAAAAATAAACTCTTATCCCTTTTATCTGATTCATACATTGTCACAAGTTTTCCAGGTGCATACTTGCAAGCTTTTCTTACTTTCTCTATATATATGTTTTTATTTTTACATAAATATGCGTCTGTCAAACAATATTTTTTCTTTAATAGTTTTATTTTTGAGAGAGAGACAGCACTCGAGCAGAGGAAGGTCTGCCTCCTGAAGCAGCCTCCAGGCTCTGAGTGTCAGCACAGAGCCCGGTGTGGGGCTTCAACTCATAACCTGTGAGATCATGACCTGAGCCAAAGTCAGAAGCCCAACCACCTGAGCCACCCAGGAGCTCCTAATGATATTCTTTATAGCAGTTTTTCCCCAGCCTAGGCAGGATTCAAGCAATAATAATACATTGGATTCAGTTTTTAAGTCTTTTTTTTTTTTTTTTAGTCTTTTAATCTGGAATGCTTTCTTGTTCTTTGTGTTTCATAATACTGACATTTTGAAGAGGTACAGGCTAATTATTTTATAGAATGTACTCAACTGGAGTGCCTCAGTGGCTCGGTTAGTTGAGTGTCCAACTCTTGATTTTGGCTTGGGTTGTGATCGCAAGGTCGTGGAATCGAGCCCCACTTTGAGGCTTAAGATTCTCTCTCTCTCTGCCTCTGTCCCTCTCCTTTTCTTAC